AGAAAGAGAAGAAATTTAGAATCTAAAAGCATGCATATCATAATTTGAGTTGTGATTAAACTTGATGAGTGTTATGGTTTATATTGATATTCTATATTGATTGTTTTTATTAAGGTGGTTTTAAGATGAGAAACTAGTTAGACTCCTGATTCAAAGGAGGCCCAAAACCATAAGACTTCCTAAAACTTCCTGCCCTGCCTTCCAAAGGAGATTCAAAACCATGTAAGCCATACCTAACCTTGGTAACATAAATCTAAAGCAACACCAAATCCAAAATAACCTTTCATTGTCACTTACTTAACAACGACGGATTATCTAATCTAATATCTTTTACCTCCATCCCTTTTTTCTTTCCACACGTATCGTCTGCATATTGAATATGAGATATCTCAAATCAGTATGAACCCACCTTGAAACACCCTAGCTGAAACTGTCTTTTTTAAGGAAAGAATAAGCCAATCTACCACCAAAAGAAAAAGTAAAGGGCTAAGGGGTCTACTTGCTTCAGCCCCATTTGAATACTAATCTTCGCAGTTGGACAATCATTCACCAACATTAAAACACTTCTAGAAAAACACAAGCATGAATTCAAGACCTCTATCTATCAGAGGAAAGATCAACTAACAAATTTGCATGCCTTCTCAAAGTCCACTTTGAACACCAAACACTCTCTTTTAAACACATTAGTGTATACCACTCCATCCACCAATTACCGCCCCTTGTCGCTACTCAAAAAATGCAACGACGGAGAGGCGAGAAGAAAGACAGAAGAGTCGCCACCAAACTTTATTTATCCCATGAGGGGAAGGGGAAACATCGAGAAAACCCTAAGAAAGAAACGGATAAGATGGTCTCGCGACCAAAGAACGGGTTCGGAAGCCGGTTATGTGAATGGAAGGTATTAATACCCCCCGCATCCATCGTACTCGATGGGAACCATTTGTTTGTCTATGTGTGAAGTTATTTGCTTAAAGATATTGCTTTCTATGAGTGTTCCAAAGGGAGAGAGAAAGGTTAGAAACAGGGAAAAAGGGGTAAGGGGGAAGAAAGGAGACTCGGTAGGACTTCGCGGTCCTAGGCCAACGTATTCTCAATAGATATGAGAAAGTCAGAGTTAACGTAGTTCGGGAAACTACGGGTAGAAGACTGAAGTATGCTCGGCGAGGATTAGGGCCCTCGTGCCTACGTATCTTTGCTTAAAAGAAGTGAAGAATCAAAGCAGTCGTAGTTCGGCCTACGATTAAAGAAAAAAAGGGTGCTCACCAAGACATCGTCGTCTTGTGCCTATGTATTCTCATCTGGTATGAGAAACCAAAGCAACGTAGTTCTTGAAACTTGATACCGGTGTTTTTGTGGATGATGCTAACATGCGCATTCTAGTAGTTAGATGTATTGCTGCTCGCTCGTTGGAGACTTAGGCGTTACCTGTTTACGGTAGAACGGACGTAACATATCCCTTTTGAAAGATTAGTTTTCGCCATCGAGGCAAGATGTCACCCTTTGCGGAGTTTTTTTTAGGGTTGAAATAGATCCTCAGATAGTAACCCCTTGCGGGTAGTACCCAATTCTTTATCTCAAAGAGTTTGTTGTAAAAAGGTGTGGTGAATACAAGCGTGTCTTCGTATTGAAAGACGAGTATCCTGACACTCGGAGAGGAAGAAGTCTGCACTCAATCCTCCCTCTTTAGTTCAATACAAAGAGAACTTTATTCTCTTATTAAAAGTATTTTTGATCTTGAATGGTAAGTGCTTCGCGACAGTGAACCCTAAAGGTAATGTCAAGCACTCGGGATAGGAGAAGGTCTACGCTTAACCACTCCACAACCATTCAAGTTTTATTATGAAAAGAATTTTGAAAATGCACTTGGTACGAGACCAAGGTTTTAAGAGAAAATTTATGAAAAGAAAGGATGGTGAATTGGTTTAACATTTTTTTGAGAAAATCCGCTTGACGTTAGATCAAGGGTTTGATTGCTTTAAAAAATTTTTGAGGTGATGCGAACAAGGTTGATGGCGATGCACAAGGCAATCGACTTACAAGGTCAAAAATGGCTCGATAAGAATCGAGAGTTTGTTTTAAAAATAGTTTTTCAGAACCAAAATTCAAGGATGATCGTAATATTATCCTCATAAAATGGCCGTACAACCACATCGGGTTAGTCGGCTTGAAAAAAACAAGTCATAAAAAAAACAGCATGAAATGCATTAAGAAGTTCGCCGTGCGAACTTCTTGAAAAAAATGTTTTTGGAAACGTATGAAAAGTTTGTTGTGCGAACCTTGCAGCAAAGTTGCCTAGAAACAACAAGAAGTTCGATGTGCGAACATGCACTATTCATAAACAAAGGCGAAAGGCACTAAAGTTCGCTGTGCAAACCTTGCAGCGAAGCTGCCCAGTAAAAACAACAAGAAGTTTGACGTGCAAACTTCCTAGCGAACGCAAACAGAGGCAAAAGGTGTCAAAGTTCGCAGTGCGAAGGTGCCAGCGAACAACTCGCTAGCTAAAAACAAGGAAAACTGACTGTCCAGTGGCCCTTTTTAGTACCACAAAAGCGTGTTCGCTAGGCGAAGAAAGCTTCGCAGTGCGAACATGACAGTAAAGATGAGTATTTTTCAACTCATTTCACTATGAACACTACACTATGTTCTTTATTTTTTCTTACTTTTTTACAACAGTTCTTGGTCATTCTTAAGACCTTACTACACTATGTACAACATAAATATTACTTTAAAAAAAGAGAATAAAAACATGCAAAATATGTAAAGATATAAGGGTTTGAAAGGAAAGATACCCAAGAGCTACTCTTCTCCTTCTAATCACCAATGGCTTTTGTTGGCTGTGCTCTATGGTTCACCTCCTTCTTCTGGTTTTCTACCACTCTCTTGTTCTCTCAATGTTTTTTCTTTCTCTTTTTTCAATCTCCTTTTTTCTGATTTTTTTCAATGCCTCTTGCTCTCACCATATATCCTTTTCTTACCTTTGTTGCCTCCTTCCTTATAGTCAAAGAATAGGGTTTCTATCACTTGTTTGCTATAGAATCTTTTTATTAGGATATGCTTCTCATCACTTTCTTGATGCCAAACCCAATTCTTTCCATTTCCATGAATTCTGCTTTACTGTATTTTGCTGCTGCGTTTTGTATTGTTTCCAAATCTGAACCCATTTGTTTGCTTATGTTTGGACTGCCCTTGTGGTCCCAAACTTCTACCTTTGAAAGCATTTTAAAATTATGATATTTAGATGCATCATTATGGGTTTATTCCTTTGGTTTTATGACATGAATTGTTTGGTTATGAGGCAATTTGTCACTTCTTGCATGGGACTATTTTAGATTAAAATTACCCATGATTAAGCATGCATAGTCTTGATCTTGAAATGTTCCAATGCTAAGTTGAATCTTAATTATTTTCCTTGGATGTTTGTAAGCATAATGAGGAACATGTGGACTTGATGGGGCTTGAAGGGTACCATAGCATGAAGTTGGTTAGAAACTTGAATTAAGATTAGAAATAGCTTAAATTTCTAAGCATTACTTAGAGTTAGAAACTTTGTAACAAAGGTGACATTCTTGCAATGTCATGACATTTCCCTTTGTAATATTCTTGAATCTAATCTTGAATTCATGAATCTTGAATTTGGAATGATGGATCTCCCTTATGCCATTGAAATGAATGAAGTCTTGAATTATGAACTTGTGATCTTTTGAATTCCACTTGAACATAGAATTTGAAACAAAATTGGATGAAGAAATCTTGAATTAAGCCTTGAACTTCATGTTCATTAGGAATATTGATCTTTAATATCCTAATATTCTTCAAGTAACTTCTCCTTGAAGGAATCTTGTGAACCCACATACTCGATATACAATAGAACGGTGTATGATTTGATGAAAGTAGGACATGAAAGGCTAATGGTGAAAATCTTTGACTCTTGATATCTGAAAAAAGTTCTTGAAGAGATTAAACCTGATACCTGAGGGTTTGATTCACAGAAACTCCTGATCCCATGCAAAGTATGATCATGAACTACAACTTGATGACGATGCAGATGAACGCAAAGCAAAAGCCAGTCAAAGTTAGAAAAAGAGAGGGAAAATTTTGGAGTGCAACACCCCTTAAAAAAGGTTGATTGCTATGGAGAGATAAGATTATCCAGGACCATGGCAAGCCTAGCGAACAACACCTTAGCCACCAACTTATACAGTGAACCAAGAAGGGAAATATGTCTAAAATATTTCAACTCCAAAGGAATCTTTATGTTCGGGATAAAAGCAACAAAAAAAGATGTCAAAATTTTAGGTAACACGGAGTTCTAAAAAAACAGGTCAAACATTGCATAAGCCTCATCCTTGATTAACCCCCAAAACTTTGTATAAAAAGAGATATACAGATCATTAGGACTCAGACTCTTAGACCCATTCATCTCAACAACTGTCTCATCCACTTCTGAAAATCTAAGCCTAATAAAAAGAAACCCAACCTCAGCTAAAGAGAGGCACAACAGTGAAACTCTGTCAAAGTTAGGCTTAAGAGCCTTAAAATATAAAAAAAAATGTTGTTTAATAAGCCTAGAAATCTCCCTCCCCCAAATCATATTGTCTCGCATATTATTTAGACATTGCATGAGACATATTGCTATTCATCAAACATAATTTGAAGATACCTGGTGAGAAGACCTCTTGTGTTTAAACATTATGGTATATTCTCTATATCATTGTAATTTTAATTTTAAAAAACAAAATCCATGACTAGATTTAAAATAAAAGATATATAAATCTTTTTTATTATAAAAGTAATGTGTCAAAAAAATCTTTTCAAAGAACAAACATTCGATCTTTAGATTTTGCGTTAAAAACCAATCCAACATCGGTGTTCAGGCTTATAAAAATAGGGGCTATACGGCGTAATAAAAATGCCACAAAATATCGGGTAAAATTGGTGTTTTTCCGTTTGTTACCCATGAACCGGCTATAAGGTCAAGTATTAACAGAGTTGCGGGAACAATGGTAACAAAAGCAATAACTTCGGTAAAGAGAGATGTGGTAATATCATTCCTTATTGAGAAAGTTCTACTGACTATAAGAGAAAAATGGCCAAGAGATGAGTTTGAGTCAACAATATTTATCCAGCAGGATAACGCAAGAACGCATATAAATCATGATGATCCTTTATTCTGTGAAGCTGCCACCAAGGATGGGTTTGATATTCGTTTAATGTGGCAGTCTACAAAATCTCCAGATTTGAATATCTTAGACCTTGATTTTTTCTCGGCTATACAATTATTGCAATACAAGGAAGCACCGAAAACTATTGATCAACTTATTGATGCAGTGGTGAAGTCATTAGAAAATTTTCCTTCAATTAAGTCCAATTGTATATTTGTATCATTACAACTATGCATGATAGAGATCGTGAAAGAGAAATGTTCCAATAAATATAAAATTCCTCATGTAAATAAGGAAAGGCTTGAAAGAGTAGGACAACTACCAGTTCAAATTAAGTGTGATCTAATATTAGTACAAGAAGTCAAGAATTACTTAAACCTTGAGTAATACTTATTGTAATTGGGATTTAGTCACATTTGAAATTTTCAAATAGAGTTTTTTATTTTATTTTATGTGTTGTAACAAAACTAAGATTTGCATCAAAACACTAAATGTATCAAATTGATGTTGCATTTTCCTAAACTTTAGCCATAAAAAAATAATGCTCATGCACGTAAGAAGTTAAGTTCAGAAACATTAGCAAATATAGGAATTCAATAAAAATAAGCAATAAGAATGAACTACGTAAGAAATGCAGTTCCTAAATTATAGCAATATAAAAAGCAATAACAAGGAATTCTTCTTCTTATTTATTCAATAACAATGACTTCTTAAATAACAACTCCTAAAACTTATGCACTTAAGCCAAATCTAAAATAGATACTCCATACTTAGTCCACAAAGATTTTTCAGTAAAATTTTGAAAGAAGTTTTTTTATCATCTTTTTTATCACAAGTCGAATCACAACATGGTGGGAAGATTCTTTTTCGTTTTTTTTCTCCTTCTTTAGGAAATTTGTTCAAATCAAATTCATAATCTGCCTCTTCATTTAAATCAAAATTCAGTACAACTCTTGATAATACTTCTTCTTCGTTGTCATCTTGTTCTTGTTTCTTGTCAAAAGAGTCTTCCACTATTTCTCCTTCTTCTTACTCCAATAAGTCTTCCACTCTTTTTTTTTAACATCTATGGAGTCTTTTGTTGTTTCCACCCGAACTCTTTTACTTTGCACTTGATAATTAAACAATGGTACTAATCCTTTTTATAGAATTTTAAGTTTTCAATTGGTAAATTTGTTCCTTTGACAAAATTTAATGCTAATACATTTTTCTATGTAACATTGGAATAGGAATGAGAGTTATTTATGGGAATGAGAGTACGTGTTAAGAAAGAGAATTTTATGGAAAATGTGAAGTGAGTTATTACATATAATAAGAAAGAAATTTTTTATGGAAAATATAAAGTTGAGTTATTTAAAAAGTAAGGGTATAACTGACAAATTGTAACATTAAAACATCAAAACGACACTTAAATAGAAACAAAAAAAACTTCTAAAACGACACTTAAAAAGAAACGGAGGGAGTACTAAAATCCATTTTCAAAGACATAACTGCTAAACTTTGTTTATCAATTTGTATTACATATTCCCTAAACAAAAATAACTATTACATATTTGTTTTACTATATTTTACTCCAACAATATTGATTTATTTAATTAAAATATGTTTGGTAAGACATAAAAAAGAGCTTTTAGCAAAAAAAAATTGTATGGTAATTGTCTATTAGCTTTTAATTTATAGCTTATTTACTACTCCCTCTGTTTCTTTTTAAGTGTCGTTTTAGAAGATTTTTTTTGTTCCTATTTAAGTGTCATTTTGATGTTTTAATGTTACAATTTGTCAATTATAATCTTACTTTTTAAATAACTCAACTTTATATATTTTCCATAAAAAATTTCTTTCTTAATATATGTAATAACTCACTTCACATTTTTTCATAAAATTATCTTTCTTAATACGTACTCCTATTCTCATGCATAACTCCATTTCCATACATAACTCTCATTCCTATTCCAATGTTACATAGTAAAATGTATTAGCATTAAATTTTGTCAAAGGAACAAATTGACCAATTGAAGACTTAAAATTCTATAAAAAGGATTAGTACCATTGTTTAAATTATCAAGTGCAAAGCAAAAGAGCTCTGATAGAAACAACAAAAGACTCCATGGATGTTAAAAAAAAGAGTGGAAGACTTATTGGAGCAAGAAGAAGCAGAAATAGTGGAAGACTCTATTGACAAAATACAAGAGCAAGATGACAATGGAGAAGAAGTATTGTCAAGAGTTGTAGTGGATTTTGATTTAAATGAAGAAGCAGATTATGAATTTGATTTGAACAAATTTCCTGAAGAAGAAGGAGAAAAAAACGGAAAACAATCTTCCCACCATGCTGAGATTCGACTTGTGATAAAAAAAGATGATAAAAAAACTTTTTCCAAAATTTTACTGAAAAATCTTTGTGGACTAAGTATGGAGTATCTATTTTAGATTTGGCTTAAGTGCATAAGTTGTAGGAGTTTTTATTTAAGAAGTCATTGTTATTGAATAAATAAGAAGAAGAATTCCTTGTTATTGCTTTTTATATTGCTACAGTTTAGGAACTGCATTTCTTACATAGTTCATTCTTATTGCTTATTTTTATTGAATTCCTATATTTGCTAATGTTTCTGAACTTAACTTCTTACGTGCAGGAGCATTATTTTTTTATGGCTAAAGTTTAGGAAAATGCAGCATCAATTTGATACGTTAATTTAGTGTTTTGATACAAATCTAAGTTTTGTTGCAACACATAAAATAAAATAAAAAACTCTATTTGAAAATTTCAAATGTGACTAAATCCCAATTACAATAAGTATTACTCAAGGTTTAAGTAATTCTTGACTTCTTGTACTAATATTAGATCACACTTAATTTGAACTAGTAGTTGTCCTACTCTCAAGCCTTTTCTTATTTACATGAGGAATTTTATATTTATTGGAACCTTTCTCTTTCACGATCTCTATCATGCATAGTTGTAATGATACAAATATATGATTGGACTTAATTGAAGGAAAATTTTCTAATGACTTCACCACTGCATCAATAAGTTCATCAATAGTTTTCGGTGCTTCCTTGTATTGCAATAATTGTATAGCCGAGAAAAAACCAAGGTCTAAGATATTCAAATCTGGAGATTTTGTAGACTGCCACATTAAACGAATATCAAACCCATCCTTGGTGGCAGCTTCACAGAATAAAGGATCATCATGATTTATATGCGTTCTTGCGTTATCCTGCTGGATAAATATTGTTGACTCAAACTCACCTCTTGGCCATTTTTCTCTTATAGTCGGTAGAACTTTCTCAATAAGGAATGCTATTACCACATCTCTCTTTACCGAAGTTATTTCTTTTGTTACCATTGTTCCCGCAACTCTGTTAATACTTGACCTTATAGTCGGTTCATGGGTAACAAACGGAAAAACACCAATTTTACTCGAAAAAGTTTCATTTTATTCTGAGTCAAATCGTGGTCGAGATTAAGCAACTAAGAACATAACTTTGGCAATGAAATTTTTGCTCTTACATATCCGATATGGCTCATCTTCATCTGGGAGAAAATAATACTTCTCGGATTTTTTAGTCATATAAAACCATTTTTCATGAATATGAATAATATTATGCATGCTCTTAAACATTGGATCATGTGGTGTACCTTCAAGCATTGATAAACAAAATTCCAGCCTAGATATTTTATTTTCTTCTTTCAATAGTGGTTTTATGCCATTTGAATTACACCGTATAACCCCTGATTTTATAAGCCTGAACACCGATGTTTGATTGGTTTGCAACGCAAAAGCTAAAGATCGAATGTTTGTTCTTTGACTGAAAGGAAGTTCATGAATTTGATTCTCATTAATTGAAATTCTCTTACGTCCATAATTTTTTGTCTTCCTATGAGAGACATCACGTGTTTCACTTTCTTTTGCTATTTCTCAAATACGTTAAACAATTCTTAGAGGAACCAAATTTGATGAAGCCACCTCATTTGTAGCTCCTTTACGTAATTTTCCATCAACACTTTTGATCTTACCGAACGATCAGAACCTGAGATGGGCCAATGACAAATGTCTGCGATGCTGAGTGTGAGAGAAGAGGAGGGGGTGTACCTACAAGGCACTCTGATGCTAAAGTAAGAAAACGATCAAGAGAGCGAGCAAGTACAAAATATGTGTGTTTCAAGGTGAGAAATTGGATACATGACCCTCTCAAATGAGAGGATTTTTATAGTGCCCCCAACACTTGGCCATTGTTCCTTATTTTCGGGGCGAAATAACCGTTTCTCGAAGAATAGGTAACTGCCACAAATAGCCGTTGGGACGGGCAGACGTGCCCATAAATAGTCGTTGGTGCAAGCAGAGGCGTAGTCACAGGCACAAGCGTCTTGGCTGTTTCTGGATGGTGGAACCGTGCGAGACGGGTAGAGACTATCGGAGAGAAGTGTTATGACCAAGGGTAAATAGGTCAGCCTCCCCTATTAGAGGGGTAGAAAGGTAAACTTTCAACCAAAGAGGTTGGACCTGGGCAATTGGGTCATTCTCGGAGCAGAAGTGGATTGGGCCATGTCCAGCCATTAGGTCAGTCCAGAACAGTTGCCCCTCAAGTCGTTGTTACCGGGCACGATAGTGATGACTTAAGGATGGTCTACTTCTCAAGCATAGTCGCTGTGAGTTTCCTTGTGTTCGGATGAATACTTGCCCGAACGTCAGAAATGTCGTCGTCCGGGAGCTTGGGATCCGGGGAGCCCAACAGTTGATGGGATCTGAAGAGTGGAGATGCCATGTGTACCTCGAGTCGTGTGATACATTAAATGCATGATGATGGCTAGGCTAGGTTCATGATGATGCCTACCCGTGCATGCTCGTGCACGTGCATGGAGTTTGCCTATAAATAGTGAGAGAGTATGTTCATTTTGAACTTTTGCTTCTTTCTCCTATTGTGCCCGTTTCTTTAACTGTCGTTCGCTGCCTTCAAGCCTGTTCCAACCACCGTACGACGTCCGACCAGAGTCGTTTTGGTTCCAGAACTTCTACCTTGACCATGTAAGTGTATCAACTCTCTGCTTATTCCTTGTTTTTCTGTTTTGATGCCTTAGATTGCATGTGGTTAGGATTGAAATGACTTAGGGGGTATTTAGCGGCGGCTGTTGGTGGCAGACGGCGGCGCGACCATCTGTCTGCTGCTAGCGGAGTTGTTGGATTTTTTTAGGAAGGGTAAGTTAGCAACCCATAGGTTCAATTGATCCTGGGGTAAGGGAGACACGGTGGCGTTGCTGCTAAAGTGACATGGATTCCGGTGGTTTCCCCGTGGGATTACTGGGTTTTATGACCGGGGAATATCCCCGGGTGTGTTAGGGAGAACTGTCGGGCACCTTCCCCATTTGTTTAGTTGCGCCATTTGAGTAAG